CTGTGTGGGTAGGGGTAAGTCACTCAACCTGTTTGGTTTCCTCAACTGTAAAATGGGATAAGAGCACCTATCTCTCAGCGTGATTGTAAGGATAACATGAGATAACAGACAATTCCTGGCATATGGTAGGTGCTCTATAAATGTCAGCTATTACTATTGTTATTACTAAATCATCTATAAAATCACAGGTACTTAATATATTTACCTATAGCAACTAATAGCATGTAGGAGGTAGCCAATGAGTGTTGCTGATTATGATTCTTGATTATGAAACAGAGGCTAATAATGAAATGCCGTTAATAGTATCAATATCGATTATATACCAACCCCCCACTCAAAGCATAATACAACATGTTTTTGCTCATAAGCTATACAGCTATGCTCATTTTTATCTTGACAAGCAACTCTTTCTAACTCCTTATAAAGGTATCATATCTTGCTTTTTTATTTTAAATAACATTTTCAGTTTTAAAGAAAAACAATAGATAGCAATGGTAGCCATAGTATAATATACTGTACAGTCAAAACACATTAATACAGTATTATATTCTCATATAAAGTAAGTGTATACAGGGTGTTTGAGGTGTTCCAGGAGAACCAGCATCTCTGTTATGAGGGCTTGCTGAGCTCATACGCGTTTGAGGTCCACCTTTCACCCGGCTCTCACCTGTGGCTCCAAGAAGCTGTAGTATGTGCAGTGGAAGAGACACGCTAAACCAGGTTGGAGGTCACTGACAGGCCTCAAATCCGTCGGTGAGTTAAGGGGATGTCTACCCCAAGCATGTGAAGCTTTCCTGAAGCAGAATGGGTGGATCAGAACAATTTGTTTCAATGGACGTGAAGGCGGCTCAAGCAGGTACTGTGGAGCATTTAAGAGTTGGTCAGACATTGGAAATTCCAAGGTCACCCACTGCATCCTGGGCCATCGCCAGTCGTCTTGACAAACCACCCCTCAAGGACTCTGGAAGAGAAAATGAGGCTGACAACTTTGTGAAACTCTGCCTCACTTAAATCCAATTCACCCATGAGTGGACATCCTCTGAGATGTCATTGGTCCTCTTTGAAAACAAAGGACAAACAATAACAAAAAGTATATATAGCACTGTATACTTTTTTTTTAAAAAGCACTTGCATTATTAATGAAACTCTTAAAATGGAGGGTACAGGGTTAGGGGGCAGTGCTGCTGTCCAGTATATATATAAATAATATTTCTTTATGAGAGCTGACTGTGGGCAAATGATTTGACATCCTTGGGATGCATTTTCATCGTTTTTAATATGAAGGCTCTGGACCAGATGACCTTTGAGGTCCCTTCCACCTCTCCATCTATGATTCTAAATTCATTATAAATAAGTCTGGATTATTTTGTTTCTTTTTCTCTTCGAAAGGGAAAGGGGCTGTACTTTGGCTAATGTTACCAATGAATTTAAAAAGCTTTATCAACCCTGAAAACATTCAATCTTTCCATCAACGTGGACTGTTTATCAGGGAGTTGGTGGCAGAGTCAGGAATATACAGTTTTCTCAGCTGTAAAATGGGGGCACTGGCTAGATGACCTTTATGATGTTTTCTGGCTTCAAGGTTCCATAGTTCTCCAGCTTTACGCAAACTTCAGGAATATGAGGGTGGAAGTGATTTTTAACAGTAGGCAGTTAAGAGAATGCCTGGTAAATGTGTCATTACCTGTGCACTTTAAAATAAAGATTTTAATCTATGAGTTGTGACTTGGACTGTTGAATCAGCAATATATACACATACATGTACACATGTACATATATAGGCAGCTAGATGGCACCATGGATAGAGTGCCAAGCCTGGAGTCAGGAAGACTCATCTTTGTGAGTTCAAATCCAGCCTCAGGCACTTACTAGCTGTGTGACCCTGGGCAAGTCACTTAACCCTGTTTGCCTCAGTTTCCTCATCTGTAAAATGAGCTGGAGAAGGAAATGGCAAACCCTCCGGTATTTTTGCCAAGAAAACTCCAAATGGAGTATGAAGAGTCAGACACTGTTGAGGTCTAGAGGTTTGGGGGTGCTGGGACCCTAAAATCACAACATGTGGGTCCTGCCCAAAAGAATTCAACTCAAGCCTTCTTTCAGCCAAAGACAAGTTTATTAAAAATGAGCCATATAGGCCAGACTCTTAAGGAATCTGACCATTTGTGACGCCCGTAAAGACAGGCGGACATGAGGAAATCTCAGCCCCAAATGGTGACCAGGATGGATCTTATATACAGAAAGACTATGGCAGGGATCTAGGAGTGGCCGAGTAGTTTGAGGTGACTGTGGAGGAGGAACTGGGAGAAGGGGTGTCTTGATGGGAGTGGCCAGTACTGGACGAGGAGTTTAGGGAGGATCTTGAAGCTGGCGTGACTGGGGGAAGGGTCCTGGGAGAATCCCTGTGGGAGCATCTGGGAGGTAGAATGGGGTCTGGATAAGATCAAGGATAGGAAGTATAACCCAGGGTTATCAGGCCAGTAATAGACAATGGAGGGCTGGGCTTAATTAGGGTAACAAAGAATTGGGAGATAGGGCCTAGATGATAAGGAAGAGCCAGTTGACAGGAATAAGAATAACTTCAGGGGACTGCTAGACTTCCTTAACCAGGTAAAGGTTCAAATAGGGTTCAAGGGTTTTCTGGGGCCTGTAGAGAAATGGGACCCAAATTCTTTTTGGGGTGAGGGGCAGAGGTCTCGGCTTTGGCCCATACTCCATCAACATGACTGAAAATTAATAAAGAACACACACACACACACACACACACACACACACACACACACACACACACACACACACACATATATATATATATATATACACATGTGGATATAAGTGGGAGAATTATCATATTTAATCATCTCAGCCTACATTTAATGTTAATAAGTATAATAAAGTAACAAAGGACCTAGAGCTAAACTTCACACTTGTTAATTCCATTTACTTTCTTCTGGGACTCCTCAATCCCTGGTCATTTGGCCTTTGACTTCATTTTTTGCTAAGAAACTGCTCTCTCCACCCGTTACTAGAGTCCTCTGATTACCCTGCCTCACATCTGCGCAGCATTTGGAACCCCTGACCACCTTCTCCTCTCTTTTCCTTGCATTACAATCTAATACAGGGGAACAAAACATGTACACATGTGGCTAAATTTGAAGGTAGAATGTGATAGACCTAAGGGGAAATCCAGACAAGGTGTTCTCAAAAATTCTGAGTAGAGAAAGAGTATTTTCAGGGGAAATGAGAGATTGGCTTTAGGAAACAAAAGGAGACATTTTAAGTTTTTCGTGTGATTTTGTTTGCTGTTATGAAATTTTCCATGCTAATGGCCGTCTCTCATCATTTTTTTTTGCCACTTCTAGTCTTTTTTTTTTTTTTAACCTTTCTTAAGACAAAGACAAAAATGACTTCAACTGAATTTGATTGATCTTGCATCTCATGCTCTGCTTGGAGGCCCTAGGCCTAGGAAAAGTGGCACCAGTTGTCAAGCCTGAAAGATTTGTAAGTGGAAGACTGAGGAGGAGGGTATCAAAGTATAGTCTATGTACTGTCACACCTCATCCAACAATTCAATTAAATAACCCTTTATTAAGTGACTGCTACCTACTCTGTGTAAGGGACTGTACCAAGTGCTAGGCGCTACCAAGCAAAAAACCACAGTTAAAACCAAACCAGGACTAGTTCCCCAGAAGGCAGCTGGGTTATACAGTGGACAGAAGCCTGGATTTGAAGTCAGAAAGATCTCACTTCAAATTCAGACTTCTTTACTAGGTGTGTGACCTTGGGTAAGTCACTTAATTTCCCTCTCTCTGCTCAGTTACAAAAACATATTAATAACAATAGTTGTGTCGGATAGGGGACTCAGTGGATAGAGTCTGGAAGACTCATCTTGCCGAGTTCAAATCTGGCCCCAGACCTTTAACTAGCTGTGTGACCCTGGGCAAGTCACTTAACCCTGTCTGCTTCAGTTTCTTCATCTGTAAAATGAACTAGAGAAGGAAATGGCAAATCACTCCAGTATCTCTGCCAAAAAACCCCAAATCTGGTCACAAAGAATCAGACATGACTGAAAAATCACCAAAACAACAATAGCTAGTATTTCTTTAGTATTTTAAGGTTTGCAAAGCACTTTACAAATATATCATTTAATCTGCACAACATCCTTGGGAAGTAAGTGCTATTATACCAGCCTCACCTGGTTGTTGTGAGGATCAAATAAGATAACATGCAAACACCTTAAAGGGCTATTGTAAAGACTAGATGATGATGATGATGATACTGGATGATATACCCTGTGTTGTTTAGTCTTTTCAGCTGTGTCCAGCTCCTCCTTACCCCATCTGGGGTCATTTCTTGGCAAACATCCTAGAGTGGTTTGCCATTTCCTTCTCCAGCTCATCTCACATATGACGACCAGCAAGTAAAAACAAAGCCGTTTTAAGAGGCAGAGATGGGGGGGCAGGGATCAGGAAAGGTTTCATGCAGGAATGGAAGCACAGATAGCATGTTCCAGCCATGGGCGACCACCTGTCAAACACATGGCGCCATGTTGTTCACAAGCAATAGCCACCAGGTCGCTTTGACTTAAAACTAAAAATGGAGAGTGCATGGAGAGGCAGACTATGAAATAAGATTAGAAAGGCAGGTGGTTAGACCAAGAAGTTTAGACTTTATTTTGGAAAGGGGCTTCCAACCTTTCATAGTCTGGTGAAGTCCATAGACCCCTTCTGAGAATTAATTTCTTTTCAAGCATAAAATATATAAAATTACAAAGAAAACCAATATGCTGAAATTAGCTATCACAACAGCTGAGAACCCTTGCTCTAGAGGCCTTAAGGAGCTTCTGAAGGTTTTCCAGAGTAGAGGAGGTCCAAGGCGGGGCACGCATTTTAGGAATAGGAAATGGGTGGGGGTGGGGCTGGGGTGGGGGCGGGGGAAGGAAAAGGGCGGTTTCCGCCCAGTTATTTCCTGTTTCCCTCTAGGGGGCGTTGCAGCGGCGGAGACATTCCTTCTCCTGGGGCCTAGGCCGCTTCCTCTCTGACTCCCTTCCCGCCCGCATCATCATATCACGATTTGAGGGCGTGGGTCCATAGGTCGTCGGCTAAACTGGCACAGGCCGCCGGAAGAGTGAGGGGGCTCCAAGTTGCCCCACCGCCCTCGAACAACGAAAAGGATGGGAAGTACCAGCGCCGACCTACCGGGGGTGGGGCGGGGGAGGCGTAATCTGCACTTGCGCGAGTCACGAGGTGCGAGACTCAGGGCGTGAGCCCTCCTCCTCCCCTCCTCCTCCTTTCCCCCTCCTTTACCCCTCCCCCTTCCGAGCCTTAGCCCGTGGCACGCATGCGCGCGGAGCGCTGGGAGCCGTTGTTGGCCGACAACTGGAGCCCTTTCCTACACAGATGACGGCTCTACAGTGGGCCAGGGCCTGGGTGTGGAGGGCCCGCCTTTGGGCGGGCTAGAAAGGCCCCGAAATCACCGATATCCTCAGAAGAGCATCGCCCCCTGAAATCCGGCTTTTCCCACCGCCTTAACCTCTAGACGCCCTGCTGGCCTTCTGTTACTTGAGCTCAAAAACCTCGAACAGGTATAAACCTTGAGGTGCCGGTGGGGTCTCCTCCCGCGTGGGGAGGCGCAACCCCGCCCTGCCCCGGCCTGGACGAGAGCTCCGGGGCGACCGTTGCCCCGCCCCTCCTCCGCCCTCCTTTTCCTCTCCTTCCTTTCTCCTCCCTTCTTTTCCTCTTCTTCCTTCCCCTGACTTCCCCTCTTCCTCCTCTTTCCTTTCCTCTTCCTCCCTCCTCTGTCCCTCCTCCTCCTCTCCGGAGAAGAGCTCCAGTTCATACCTTCGCCCTTACTCTAGCTTCCCTCCCTTTCCCCCTTCTTTCTTCTCTTTCTCCCCTCTCCCGTTGCCTTCCTCCTCTCTCCCTTTCTGTCCCGCTTCTCCTTTTCTCTTTCTTCCTCCCTTTTCACTGTCTCCTCTTCCCTTTTCTCTCGGTTCCCTTCCCTCTCCCCTTTTTACTTTTTCCCCCTGCCCTCGCCCTTCACCTTCTCTTATCCTTCCTCCTTCTAGCTTTTCTTTCCTTTCTTTTTTTTGGTGCCCAACCAGGGAAACTACCCTGTGCCTCTACCCCAAAAACTGGAGCTAATAGGATAGAATATTCTACTTCCCCCTGAAGTGGAAAAGAAGATTGTGAACTTCAAAGCTGAGCATCCCCATGCAACTCATATTAGGGGTAGGGCCTAATTGTTAATGGGGACCAGGGACAAGAGGATTAAAGCTGGTCCTTTCCCCATATCTATTTATTCCCTTCCCTTCCCTATCAGATACATACTTGTAGTCATTGGTGATTTCCAGCCCTCCACATATTAGCTATGTGACCATGAACTTAACCCTCAGTGCCTTCGAAAATACTCATGACTATTATGCTAATAGCATTTATATTGTAACTGAATTACATTGTGTTGACTCAACTTGAAGATACAGGGAACTCTTTAGAAGACAGTCATCGTTGCTCAAACTGTAACAGTCATATACTCCTTTTTTTTGGTATCATTGTAGAATGGTATGACAACAGGAAGGCTTTCTTATCTTGAGTGCAGAGAAACAGACTGTTCACTTGGGACCAGTCCTAAGATAGACCTTTGGTCTGCCCAGGAGCTCAAAGGCAATTTTGGGATATGGGCCATTTCTCATCCCATCTGTGCTCTTTGGAAATACTCAACTCTCCATTCTCATTTGGTGTTTTGTCCTTCCAAGGAGGTAGATAGCAACCCATCCTATTCCTGCCCATTACAAGTATTCTAAATGAACATAACCAGTCTTCACAATTCTTTAGGTTTGGCCACCAAAACACTTCACAGTTCTGTTCAAGAGTTCACAATGGAAGGGCCTATTCCTATTCTTTTGGAATGCATAGCTGGCTATCTTTCCTAGTCAAATGTCTGTAGATCAATTTCCTGATATCCTGTTTGGACCCCTTGGTTATAAAGGATATTTTTCCTTAATCAGAGGAAGGGTTCTAGTGCTACTTTATTTATCAACAGGCTAGCCTCCAAGCCAAAAGTAGTCTGTGCCTCATCGCAGGCAATTTCCGTTAGGGAATATCACAGCATATGTTACAATAACCTCTTTCCCCAACATATGTACCATTTTCCATTTCTGGCACTCCTCTATTATACCTGTACCCTAGAATTATTTCATCATAAATCTACCTAGATCTCAGTCTGTGTCAAAAATGGCTCTTTATTTGACACCCTGTAGAGCTTTTATACAAACGTTTGAAATTTCCCATCTCATTTTAGCTTCCTGGCAGTTCTAACCACTTGCTCCTAATTAGCCTGATCAATGTATTGATATAATAATGCCAAATCTATAGTCATACACTGGTAATTCTACTTCTCTACCATTACTGGCTCTTGGGGCAGCTCTAGAATTCTCAATTTATTCTCTATGACCCCATTGCATTCTTTTTAAATACTCAAATGAACTCTATAATCTCACTGTATATTCCTTCAATCTGTGTCATTTCATGCTCTTCTGCTCTTGTCCATTATTTCACCACAGAGTTAACCCAAATTATTGATGGCCTTATTTGTTTTCCCTTGATATTTTGAAGATATTAGTGAAGCATGCAGGTTGTCTTATTCATTGACTTTATTTTGATTTTGCCAAATGATCAACCCATTTATTTCACTCATACATTTCTTTGATGATACCCTTTATATCACTTCTCCTTTGTAAGACCTTATTTGTAATGTACTAAAGAATTTAAGAAGATAGAAAATGACTTCTTATTGACCTCGGAGTCATTCTTGAATCAGGTGTTTGTATATAGTAAGATATTTATATTTTACATACATACATACATACATACATACATACATATATATATATATACACACACATACATACACACACACAAACACACATGTCTCCATAGTTAGAATATAAGCTCCTTTGGGGCAGGGATTGTTTAATTTTTGTCTTTGTATCACCAGTACTTAGCATAGTCTCTGGCACATAGTAGATGCTTAAAAATGCTTGTGGTGTCATTGAATGCCAACCCGTTGACTCCCCCTAGCTGATGAAATAGATCCAATTATATCCAATTAGAACCATATAAATACCCAATTTTCATTTCATTAAGATCTGTCAAATACTTATTTTGCTAAATCATAGCTCTATTCTCATTAATAGACCTGGAAGCAGAACCCAGGTTTCCCTTGATGTTCCACATCCAGAGAATTCTTAACACAAATATGTCCTGACCTACAAATTTGCCAACTATAGGCAGTCCTCCATTACAGCTAATTCAGGAGCTAAGTCTTCTAATCACCTAATTCAGAAGACTACTGAACTCCTTGGTCAAATGTCTTCTTTTTCTTTACTATCAAAAATAGCATATTCCTTTTGGTATTAAATTTCCCTGTCTGACACCCTCTTTTTTTTGGTTCATCTGACTAACAGGTCAGTCTTTTAGTATCTGAAGGCTACTACTATAGATGAAGGATTGGATGTGTTCTTAGCCCTACAGGGAAGAACCAAGAGCATTAAGTAGAAGTTTTAGAGGCAGATTTTGACTCATACTTCCTAACAAGGAAAACCATTCAAAAGTGGAAGGGGAATACCTTGGGAGGGACTTGAAAGGACTCTTGGCAAAGGCTGATTGACCACTTACTGGTAATATTGTAGAGGAAAGTCTTAGTTATTTGGATTAAATGGCTTCTCCAGGGGTGTGCTGGACTCAGCACATACCAGACAATTGAAAGCTACAGATCAGGACTTGGTTTGTTGGTTTTTGGTGTTTTTTTGGATTGTCCAGACTCATGATGGTAAAAATGTCAGTAATGCAGATTAAATTTAAATGTGTCATAAATACTTTTGTTTGGTGAGTCATTTGTTAAATATTTACCAGCACACTCTTGCTGATGTGCCTGCCAGCTCTGAGTTTCTTTGAAGTATGTTTTGTTAGGTTGTAGCTTTTTGGTGTGAACCGGGGAAATCATATGTCATATCTGTATTATGGCATATTATACTAGATATGTATCATTAGCATATTGCTGCATTATTTATTTTATGATTATGATTTATGTTCCTAATTTATGTGTCTTTGTATCTTCTTTTGAAGACCACCTAAAAGTTATATTCTTCATTTTCTTTTTAGTATATGAGGTCGGTTAATATAGTAATCAGCTACCTTAAGTCTAGCATTTGTTTGAGAAGGGATACTCTTTACCTTCTTGCTAATAGGTACAGGTTCATGCTCCTAAGGTAGGGAGAGAAGGAATGCTGAGAAGTACAGAATCTGAAGTGCTGTGTAATGCTATGTATACATTTACACACACATACATACTCACACACAAACACACACATACACTTGTATGTATGTGGTGCAGTGGATAGAGTACCAGGTCTGGAATTAGGAAGACCTGAGTTCAAATTCAGCCTTAGATACTTAATAGCTCTTTGACTCTAGGAAAGTCTCTCAACTTCTCTTTGCCTCAGTTTCCTAATGTGTAAAATGAGGATAATAATAGCACCTATTTCCCAGGGTTGTTATGAGGATCAAATGAGATAATATTTGTAAAACACTTAGCACAGTGGCTGGCACATAGTAGGTACTATATAAATGCTAGCTATTAATTATGCAAAATTCATACAGGTGTGTGGTATGCTTTAGGTGTTCCTTAATCTCTCCCCCCAACTATAGAAGATGTTCTGAACTTTAGATTACATGCGAGAGTGCAAGCACACACACACACACACACACACATACACATATACACAATCAAAGGCTTCCAAATATTCATTAAACCAGATTCTACTGATCCTTAATACGGTTTCTTAAAGTAGATTAGGCACTTTTGCTGGGTGTATTATGATTTATTACTAATGTGTATCCTACTGCTCTAAGTTAATTCAGAGTTGCTTATTTACACCCAGGTTAAATAACTGAGACATTGGGATAATCCGAGTCATTGCATTAAGAATATAATAGTATAGTACATTAAGAAGAGGATGTCTTTTTAAATAATGAAACATAGTTTTCTCTGATTATTTTAATCTTCTTTTCATAGGAAGAATAAGAACCTACCATCTAAACTTTGGAAGATACATAAAAAACAAAATGAAGTCATCAAAATCTAAAATTGCACCTTTTTCTGTAGACGTGGAAAATCCAGGATTAGTTTCTAAAAACGTTTCAACTATTTCAGCAGGATTGTCTAAAGCAAGGAAAAAAAGTAGCACAAAATTTAATAATGAAAGTGAACTAATGTTCCTTGCTCCTCCACCTGTAGCAGAATCAATGCTAAAGCATGCCATTGCTATTCCCTCTGAAAATGCAGAGAATGCTCTAAATGATGAGCAAATTGTTAGACAAGTTACTAATCATCTTAAGGAGGTAAGAAACTCTTTAAAACAATTACAATTCTACACTTTTGATTTCTGAATTTGTCTTATTAACTCTTGCTTTTCAGAGATACTGTCCTATTTTCCAAGCCTGGTTCATTTGGCCCCTTCCTTTGAAAATGTGGATAGAATATAGATGTATTTTATCAGGGGATAAAATTCTACACTACTTGAGGACTGTTACATTTTTGTTTTTGTATCCTAATTACCTTGCATACAGTAGTATGCATTAATAAATGCTTGCTTTCTTGCTTGATAGGTACAAAATCTGAAAGTGTTTGAGGGTCAGTGGTTTAGAGGAAATGGAATAGACTAAGCTGAAATGAATATCCTTTAGTAACTTAGATGATTACATTAAATATGAAGTGTGTCACTGGAGAGAATTGATGGCACTGGAATAGATAACTGCCTATGCAGAAGAGACCTGGTCTTGGTTAAGTATATTTAATTGTGGTAAGTGTATTTTAATTGATAATAAATTTTGTAATCATGTTATTATTTTATTGTTTGTGTTTGACAGATTTCTTCTTCTTTAGAAAAAGCTTATGGATTTGACATTGAAAGAGATCGATTAGCAGAGAGAGTACCAAGGCCAGAAGGAGAAGAAAGTGTACCTGTATGTATATGTAACCTTTGTTGCCAAGGCATCAACAGTAATAATGGCTCAGGTTTTCTTTTGGAGTCCACATTTATAAACAAAATGAGCATGCTCGAAAACTTGGTAGTGTTAATTCTGGCATAGAGATGTCCTAGTGAAACTGTCCTTTTCCATGTGTAGCATTCAATAATCTATGTCTCTGAAGTCACTCAGGTCTAGAGGGATGGACTGATTTATCCAGAATCCACTGGCTACCCAGGCAATCCTTCAGAGATGTTATCCACCAGGATCTTCCATGCTACCCTGTGACAAGATTTTCTGGTTGGCTAGATGATTACGTCTTTCAGTGTCTTCTTTATACCTTATACCTACCAGCTGCCTTTCAGAGACTGCCCCCCTGGGTTCACCATTTTACTTCCCTTTCCACTGGTTGCTTACCCAGCAGTGTGTTGACAGTAGACCTCTTCTAGGATGTTCAGCAACAATCTTCTGAAATAAAAGATAATTTCCTTTAGCTTCGCAGTTCTTAGGTCAGTGGTTCCCAACAGGTTGATCATAATCTACAGCTGATCTTGAAATTTGCTTTACATGGTTTACCTCCCTTCTCAGTGCTTGCAAAAATTCCCTGTGAGGAGAGGAGCATGGCCCATGGCAGCTGTCACAAAACCCTGTCTGTGGCTTGTAAGGATTCACAGCTGAAAGCTATGCTTCACTTCCACTATTGTCATCTATTTGTTACATCATATCCCCTCCTTTATCCAAAAATAATAAGACTTAAGTGAAATAAAAAATATCCTTATTGTAAAAAAGATTAAGAATTCCTCAGTGGATGATTTACAACTTTCTTGACAGTGATTCTGTGAGAAAGGGCTTTTTTTTTTTTTAAACTAGATAAAATAACATACTTTACTTCAATAACATACTTTAGATAAGTCTTTAGGATTTTAAAACAACGACAAAAGTAGTTAAATAGTGCTTCCCAGTTTAAAGAGGACTTTTACATTTACTATTTCACTTGATTTCAGTAAACCTGTGACACAGGCAGGACAACAGATGATATTCACATTCAGAGACCTTATATAACTTGCCCAAGGTCACATCGCTAGTAAATGACAGAACCAGAATTTGAACCTGGATCTTCTGACACTAAGTTCAATGCTCTTTTTACTTTACCACACTGCTTTTACTGTTAGGATGGCTGATAATCATGTAGCCCTGGTGTGCTTCCTTGGTTTCTATAATCTATCCAGCTGTCTACCTTTACTAAGAATTAAAATTCAATTTGTGCAGTGACATGGTAGTATCTTAGTTCATGTCTCATGGTGCCCCAAGGTATCGACAAGCATGTCTTGCTCAGTGTCTTTAATTGGTTCCACTAAAAATTGACTTTAGGACAAACAACATTTCAGGGAATAACTAGGTCCATAGGAACAATATACATGGAAGATACATTCTTGGATGGCCAAAATTTGTATTATTAAAGCTTAAAATAAGAGGGGATAGTGGAGGAGCTTACAAACTGCATGATGAAAAACAGGTAGTTCTACTGGCTTGGAAATTGCAGGATTTTGTGTCTGTGGTGCAAGGTTGGGTCAGGGTGAGACTTGGTGGAACCCACTTTAAGACTATTCTGGCAAGAGCTGGCTGGAGGTGGGCAGCACAAGCAGCCACAATAAAAGACTTTGGGGAATCAGATTGAGTCAGACAACTCCCTGGCATTCCTTGAATTTTTTGCTTTCTTTATTTTTTGATTCCTTATACAGACAATGGCTCAGAATCTGTGCATGGCTATTGGTATTTCCATTTTTTTCAGCCGTTGGTTCCTGGCAATCTGTAGATGCTCTGGTACCACACTGGCATGACTTTTTAGCTTATGCTTGCTCTTAATCCAGCCTCTTCTGCATAGCCTCCTTAGAACTAGGCAGGGATTATCCTTACCCTGACTGGGGCTTTGCCTAGACACTGGCCCCTACAAGCTCTGCAGCAGATGTTGTGTTGACTTTACAAATGGATGGCTTGCAATACTTTAAGCTTTCTGGCAGTTAGGGTCCAGAGATTGTGGAACTATGATGAAAGCTGTTTCAGATCCCTGAAGAATGAACAGTGCTGCAAACCCCTTTAGATAACAGATGGAAGCAGTGATCCTGTCCTCAGAAAATACTTGGAATCTTCTAGATTTTTTTGCAAGGTAGGTGAGAACCTCTTAGGGTTACTGTCCCAATGCAAGTTGTTTTTAGACCTCCACTCCCCACAGACCAGACCAAGGTGGTGTCTTGCCTAATGGAGCAAGCTACTCCTCTGCTATTTTTTTATGAAAAACAAGTTATTTTTAGATGGTGGGGTGTCTTTAGGAGATTTTTGTAACCGTGTTTAGAACTGAGGTGCTTAACAAGGAACCTTGATAAAGTGTGCCAATTCCTTATGGACACTAAGGTAAGATTTGGCATGGAATTACCTTTGCTTTAGTGGATAAAATTTTGGAAGGCCTGGATATACCTGTGTAGAAGGAGTTCACTTAAGTGGGCATAGCTTCCAACTTGCCAGAATTTATTTAGCAACGGGTGTGCACTGAGACTTAACTTTGGTTATGGCCAGATTAGTGGTGCTTTCCCATCCCCTCTTTTTTCCATCCATGCTTTTCCTGCCCCTCTGATAAAAAGTAGGTATATGATGGCAACAAGTCAGTATAGCTCAAGCAGTACTGTATCTACCATCATACCACTGTTCAGGCCCAGGAGTCCACCCAAGAAGATAATCACATACAGGCTGCAGCCACTTTAGATGAAGGGAGGGTTTGACTTTTACCTTGCTTCCATTTTCTAGACTGATGTTAGCTTTGTTTCACGATCCATTTGCTTTTGATTCTTGACATGAAATTTCCAGGTTCCCAAGTATTTTGGATGCAAGCTATAGTGGTCTCTAGGGTGCCTTTGGGTATCATAGACTTGTTATTACCCTGAAAAGGGTGATTATCCCAGAGATCTTGTGCCACCCTAGTAGCAGTTATAACAATTGAAGGACACTCACATCATTACAGACCAGTAACTCAAAAGACTCATCCTCCATGGATTTGACTTAAGTATATTTTTTAACACATAATATTTGAATATTTAAGAATTTTGGAATTGTTCATACAAGTGAAACAACATGTGAAACAAAGAAAAAGTAAACAATAGAAAAGAAGCCAATGCAAGGCAGCTGTCCCTGTTTCTTAAAAGTCTGCAAACTTGTGTGCCTCCTTAAAGATAATGACTGCTGCTAGTGACTAGGTCACTTAACACCATTTTAACTTTATGGATGGTTAATTCTAAAAATTCACTTAAGGAAACACAGGCTTCTACTTTGAAAATAGAACAAAGACCTAAGCAGTTACCCAGTTTTCATCTCCCACTTGCTAGAATCATGGAATTTTCAGATGAACAGACATTGTCTTTACAGTGAATCTAGTAGCTGGCCTTGGCATTGTAGGCTTCCAGGATGAATCCCTGCCCAGAGCTGTGGTGCACCCTGTGGCTGATAATCCCCTTCACTTGCACATACTTTAATCTGGAGGGGACCATTGTTACAGCAAAAACATTTCATAGAGACGGCTGTGGGGATATAGAAAGGAACTTCTAGAATATGACCTATTGGGTCTGAAGGAAGCCAAGCTCTAGAGTAAATGTAGTGGAAGGTTGTCTGCTTAGCTCTGAAGGATCCTTGTGGTTACTTCAGTTTTCTATTATGAAGAATATGTACACACTTGTTCCCATTCTTGAGAGAGAAGGGAAACACATGAAATCTTTCCTTCCTAGAAATCCATGCTTTCCATTTCATTATGTATTCTTTAGAAGCTATACTTAGAATGGTTTAATATTTTGACTTTTTATTTTATCAGATATTAATTAGAAACAAAGTAGTAGTTTCCTCTTTGATCATCAAGGTAGTAAATAATATGAAGACTTGGTTGCCTTTTCATTCAAGGGCATTGTGGTATTGGGTTTAAAGTGTTAAACTCTGAGTTAGGAAGAACTAAGTTTGAATCCTATCTCAGACTTTTAATAGCTGAGTTACCCTGGGTAAGTCATTTAACCTCTGAACTTCAATTTTCTCTTCTGCAAAATGGGGATAATAATAACACCTACGTCACAGGGTTGTTGTGAGGGTCAAATTAGATAATGTATAATAAATGTTTTGCAAAACTTAAAAGTATTACATAAATGTAGACTGTTACTGTTCTATATGATAGTGCTAGTCAGCTAGATGATACAACGAAATATAGATTAGAATGTGGTAAGCATTTGCTTGTCTTTGAATGCAATATGCACAGAAACTTTCCCCACTTGACTTACTAGAAATATTTAATTACTTGGACATAGATACTTAATAACACTGTAAAACAAAGAAAACAACATTGACTGTCTTTGTTAAACACATTATGGAGGTATGAAGCGATCAGATGATAAGGAACAAAGAGAACCAAGGGAGCAGGGTATTTAGGTGAGCTGGTCTTCCAGTGACTCTTGGGGCCTTGTGGAACCTAGAAGAGTTTCTATTGGTTGCTGACAGTAAATAATTACATATGAATAAGTACTTAAACCAGAAGTTTACCATTAGTTTGTTGCAAAACCTAGATTGGAAGCAATTTATGTGGTAACAGATGGTCAAGTGTTGAATGTAATTTGGGGGACGTTTTAGATTTCCAATGATCTTTCCATCTGTTCCTTCAGGAAAGTCAAGGCTTTTGTGGCTGGGCCTCTTAATCTAGTCATCTAGGCTGTTTGGTGCTACTTGAGCATGAAGATGGTCTTCAAGAAGATAAAAGCATTCACATATTCTTTTTCAAAGAGATAGTCGTTGTTTAGAGTCAAATTTACTATCAGTGGCTTGAGTATCGTCCTTACTGTTTTCAGTGATATCAGTGACAGGTTTTCTTCCCACAATCAAAGCCCTACTTTTGGGAGTAAAAATCTTGTTTATTGGGCTTTGGGAGACTCTGGAGTAGTGAGTAAATACAGTTTTGGATCAGGTCACTTGCC